GACACTAGTTCTGCTTAATTGGGATGCTTTCAGGTGATATGAGGGTTGAAACTGATGCTTTGCTCCGCTGTTTCAGGATCACGGTGGTTCTCTCTCTCAGTCCTACTGGGAACACTTTGCAATTGGGGCTGACGTAGCACCCAAAAGGCTCCCTCACTGCTGCCCTTTATCTCCTGACTCCAGCTCTCCACTGCCAGCTGCTTGACTGCAGAACAAATCTGCCCTCTGAGGACAAGGACAACTCAGGTGTGCTGCCTGCCCCCTTGATTCAAGTGTTGAAGCAGAGCTTTTCAGTAGTCAGAACTTTACCTTCAGCTCCAGGCTTCAGCACTGCCTGAATGTTTCCAATGAGAAGTTTAAGGAGTTTGTGATTCTTGCTGCTGTGACTTCCTTCTCAACTAACACCTGCTGATCTTCATGTACTGTGTGAATGCTACCGTACCTGATAGCCACTCACTAGCCCAGGGGAGATGAGTCAGAAGCCTTAGCTCAGTTCCTAGAAGAGCCTTCCTCTCACTCAGGCTTTTTGTTGGCCTCCTCAGAGGGTCATTGAGAGATTCAGGTGTGTCCAGAGGAGGGCCACAAAGATGATCAGAGGGCTGGAGCACCTCTCCTGTGAAGACAGGCTCAGACAGTGAGGGCTGTTCAGCCTGGAGAAGGCTCCAGGAAGACCTTACAATGGCCTTCCTGAAAAGGCTACAGAAAACCTGGGGAGGGACTTTTTACAAGGGCATGTAGTGATAGGTTGAGAGATAATGGATTTGAACTGGAAGAGGGGAGATTTAGGCTAGACACTAGGAAGAAATTCTTTACTATGAGGGTGGTGAGACATGGGCAGAGGTTGCCCAGGGAAGCTGTGGATGTCCCCTCTCTGGAAGTGTTCAGGGCCAGGTTAGATGGGCCTTGGAGAAACCTGGTCTAGAGGAAGTTGTCCCTAACCCTTCCTTCCCAAACCATTCTATGATTCTATGGTTCTCAAACCTGCAGCTGATCCCCCTGAATCACAGCACTGTTACCTTGCTAGGCAGTATAAGGAAACTTGCAAATTAGCTGATCTATCACACAGAAATAATTAGAACTGGCTCAAAGGATGGCATTTTCTCATGACCATCAAACGCACTCATAACTAAGAAAGGAGGATTTGTAAAGACCTGTTGCAAAGACAGGACTTTAGACAAGATACCAAAGCCAGAACCGAGTCAGCATGGTGCACAGCACTTGCCAGTGTGTCAGGGCACCATGAGATGGCGTCACTTCCACCAACAAAGAGCTTAGTGCCCCAAGTCTGACTGAAGTAACTGTGGCCATCGACTGAAACTAGACCTGTTGAATGTTACCGTGCGGGTCCAGTCAGCCCCTGGGGTCAAGCAGCAGAACAATGTGGCAGCCCTCTGTAACAGGGTGAGTTGGGAAGATAACACAAGTCTTGGAAAAAGACAGAAAAGGATTAACTCCAAGCTGCTTTGCAAATCAGCAGCTGTGTTTTGCAAAAAGACTGAAATATGGGAGGCCACAGCAAGGCTTCGGTAGCAGGAAATACACTGATTAAAGAGCAATGTAAATATTGCTTTACTAACCTATCTTTCTTACCATGCTTCTTTGCACCTTCGTTGTTTTCTTCTGGCTATTCATATTCCGAAGAGCCAGTGCAGACATTTCATGCAACAGGCTTGGTTTGAAACTGTGTCTGCACTAGCTCCTACACAAAGTTTCACTGGGGTTTCACGAGTACAAGCCTTCCAAGTTATCCGTGTTCTCAGATTAGGATGGTGGGAGGACAGCAGAATGGCAGGAAAGACCAGAAACGTTGGCATTAGCCACAACAGCAAGTGGAGGGAAGGAGAAGGAAAGATCAGGAAGTGCACAAAGAGAATGGAAAATGAGATGGCTGAGTAGAGGAAAAGAGAAGGGTAAGAGAGAAGAGCAATGACACACCAACTCTAAACCACCTCAGGAGCAGGAGCTCTGGTTCAGAGTGGTTGCTTACCCCGAGGAAAGGTGGCTTGGTATAATGTGACAGTCTGTTCCAGGCACGTGTGGTGGCTGAAACATGGCTGCACACACCCTTGCTGTGCCTACATGTAGTGATAGGTTGAGAGATAATGGATTTGAACTGGAAGAGGGGAGATTTAGGCTAGACACTAGGAAGAAATTCTTTACTATGAGGGTGGTGAGACATGGGCAGAGGTTGCCCAGGGAAGCTGTGGATGTCCCCTCTCTGGAAGTGTTCAGGGCCAGGTTAGATGGGCCTTGGAGAAACCTGGTCTAGAGGAAGTTGTCCCTAACCCTTCCTTCCCAAACCATTCTATGATTCTATGGTTCTCAAACCTGCAGCTGATCCCCCTGAATCACAGCACTGTTACCTTGCTAGGCAGTATAAGGAAACTTGCAAATTAGCTGATCTATCACACAGAAATAATTAGAACTGGCTCAAAGGATGGCATTTTCTCATGACCATCAAACGCACTCATAACTAAGAAAGGAGGATTTGTAAAGACCTGTTGCAAAGACAGGACTTTAGACAAGATACCAAAGCCAGAACCGAGTCAGCACGGTGCACAGCACTTGCCAGTGTGTCAGGGCACCATGAGATGGCGTCACTTCCACCAACAAAGAGCTTAGTGCCCCAAGTCTGACTGAAGTAACTGTGGCCATCGACTGAAACTAGACCTGTTGAATGTTACCGTGCGGGTCCAGTCAGCCCCTGGGGTCAAGCAGCAGAACAATGTGGCAGCCCTCTGTAACAGGGTGAGTTGGGAAGATAACACAAGTCTTGGAAAAAGACAGAAAGGGATTAACTCCAAGCTGCTTTGCAAATCAGCAGCTGTGTTTTGCAAAAAGACTGAAATATGGGAGGCCACAGCAAGGCTTCGGTAGCAGGAAATACACTGATTAAAGAGCAATGTAAATATTGCTTTACTAACCTATCTTTCTTACCATGCTTCTTTGCACCTTTGTTGTTTTCTTCTGGCTATTCACATTCCGAAGAGCCAGTGCAGACATTTCATGCAACAGGCTTGGTTTGAAACTGTGTCTGCACTAGCTCCTACACAAAGTTTCACTGGGGTTTCACGAGTACAAGCCTTCCAAGTTATCCGTGTTCTCAGATTAGGATGGTGGGAGGACAGCAGAATGGCAGGAAAGACCAGAAACGTTGGCATTAGCCACAACAGCAAGTGGAGGGAAGGAGAAGGAAAGATCAGGAAGTGCACAAAGAGAATGGAAAATGAGATGGCTGAGTAGAGGAAAAGAGAAGGGTAAGAGACAAGAGCAATGACACACCAACTCTAAACCACCTCAGGAGCAGGAGCTCTGGTTCAGAGTGGTTGCTTACCCCAAGGAAAGGTGGCTTGGTATAATGTGACAGTCTGTTCCAGGCACGTGTGGTGGCTGAAACATGGCTGCACACACCCTTGCTGTGCCTATGCAGAAACAAACCAGGACTCCTACTTGTCACTGTGAGCATGTCTGGCTGGCTGGGAATACCCAAGCAAGGTGATGCCATGCATCTCGTGGCTTCTCGGTACATCTTTAGAAAACATGTGGCTCCTTCAAATGTCTTGTGTTCACCTGGATCCAAAACCTTGTCTCCCCTACTTCCAAAAGGCCTGATGGAATACCCTGGGGAAAAGCTGCACGACCTCAATGGTATGGTTTTGCTGTCCAGGAGGCAAAACTTCACAATTTTAAGTTTTAAGAGAATGCTGTGTTTCAAAAAACCCCAACCCCAGCCTCCCATATTCATCCAAGACTCATGTCTGACCCACGAGTTCACAACCTTCACTTCCATGGCCTTCCTACTGCTGGTCCCATCCTTTCTCACACGCAGTGAAGGCTCCCAGGGGGATGGGGATATTAAATCTGCTCAGCCAGAACATCGGCCCTGCCAGATACGCAGCTGAAGGAAACAGTCTCATGAAGCTTCACTAAAGCTAAGTGACAGAGGATCTGCATACCTTGGTCATAGCCAACATGTTTTTGTATGAGGTGACCATCAAGAATAAAACCAACCCCAGAATGGCTGCAACAGTACACAAAAGATCATTCTGCTGATAACAAGCATGGAAAGATTTATATCTGTAGTGTAAAAGAATGAGAACAACTGAACAAGACCAGCTATCGATTTTTAGATAAATGGCCTGGTGTGGGAGGGACAGCAAGCACAGAATGAGTTGAGTTGGATGGAAAGTTAAATGCTATTTTGGCTCTCCTGTGATCTTGCTGGCCATAAATTCTGTGAAGATTCACTGTCAGAACTGTAATTTGGTTACCACTACAACAGTTTCAGGCGTGCTAGCAGCAGCTTGCTGGAGCTGCTGAGGTTAAAAGACAATTTTTAAAATAAGCTATAGGAATGGTCATTAAACATGATTGCTAAAGAAGCAAACTGTCAAAGTTCTTTCATTTATTTCTTAATATCACAGCTGTACAGTTTTCATACATACAGCAGGAAATGCACATTGGTTACACAATGGCATTTGGCTGCATTTCCAAGTATAATACAGTAAGTGCAACTCCACTTTAAAATGTACATTTATACAACTTAAACAAATTAAAGATTGCTACACTACTATCTGTGACAGTATAAAGCTTCGTTTATGTTAAGTCTCATTACTAAACCACTTCCTGGTTAAATATAAAACATATTCAATCATTTTAAAATGGCCCTTGTGGTACTTGGCCAGCATATAAAATATTTGTTGTGTAAAATTTAACCATTAACTTTTTCTTTTTAAAAAATAATCCTCTAAGCCTATTTAAACATTTGCTATTGAACTGCTATACTGACACTTTGTAGCAGGAACCAAATTTTTACCCTTCTTTTGTTTGCTCTTGCACTGCTTATGATGGAAAGAAATTACATTTTTAATGTATTGAGCTTTATTCAGATACAACCAAATGGCTAAACTATTTAACAATTTTGCTCAAAAGGTAAATAACATTCTTCAAGAAAGAAAACGAAATTACATTTCAGAGATATTTATCATCAAAATTTTAATGGGTAGAGTGCTACCAGCACTGCAGAAAAAAAAAAAAAAAAAAAAAAAAAAGATAAAAAAAAAAGAATATTAATTTATCTTTTAAGACGCACCTGAATATTCAGTTTAAACTCTTATAACTTTAATTTTGGAATACATTGGTCCACAGACCACAGTCTTGTTACAGTTTACCAAATGAAAAACAAAATTGCTTATTGCCGTCCCTATAACAGGAATGGTTCAGTTTTAAACCTCCTTTAAAAATATACATTTTACAATCCTTTCACCTCAACAAAGGTGACACTGACAATAAATACACTGGTTTGGTGGTTTTCTTTTTCTTCACTAGGAAAAGTCTGCAAACTACCTGTTGTAGGCCCTTTCTTTTTTAGACTTCTCCAACGCCTTGTCCATAGTTTTCTCATTTTCTCCTCTACATTTGGGGCAGTACCATTTGCCCTTCGGTTTGTGATTGAGTCCCACGCAGGAAAAGTGAAACCACTCGATGGGGCACTCGTCGTTATCGCATCCTATCATTTCTCCATAGGAGACCTGGTTGCACAAGCAGTATGTTGGCTCGTTAGGGTCAATAGGAAGGTCTGGTGGAGAAGCTTCCCTCTCTGCTTTAGCCTTGGATCGTTTCTTCTTCTTGGACGTTTTTGCTTTCTTCTCCTTTGGAGTTCCTGAGGTGATGTCATCGTGATCGTGGTTATTCGAAGCATTTTCTCGATTCTCATTGTTCCGTTGCCGCCTCGATCTCTTATTGTTGGGCTTTTCGGCCTGTGCGATTGTCTCATTCTTTGACTTATCTTGGCTGGCTTTCCCGCTGTTTCCAGTGGTATCGTTAGTCTCCTGGCAAGTCTCAAACAGTTCCATGTGGCTGTCCACTTGCCTGGTTCTGTTCTCAACAAGCTCCACCATCTGACTGACGATTTGGATCTTCTCATCGCCCAGCTCCTGACTCCGAATCAAAGCTCTCTGTATGCAGTGCAACATTCTTCTCTTCTGCACAGCATCTGTCTCTCGTTTAAATTTTTCATAGTAATCATCCAGGTCCTTCAGAATCTCTGCAAGGTAGGAATAAAAGCTGTAAATATTTTCAACAAGGAGAATGGCAAAACAAAGCGTCCCCGTGCTTTTCCTTCCACCCAGGAACACCTTTCTGTGATGCACAAAGCTGGTCAGAGTCCCTGGATCTGGTATGTGACAAGGGGCTCATGCCTCCAGCAGAATACTTTTGTTACAGTTCAGTCCCACAGGAACAGAAAGCAAATGCTGACTTAGAAAAAAAAAAAAAGGACTAAATATAATTTCACATCTGTTAACAATTCTCGCCTTTCAATGTATCAGTAATTCAAAAGAACTAACAAAACAAATAAAGTTTAAAGTTCAAAAATTAATTGTAAAATCCGAAGGCCAATGTAATAGATTGTTTGCATGGACATTTTCTGTATATCAACATTAATATTTTTAGTGAATGACTGAGAGTGGGAGAGAAAGAAAGCAAAAACCAGTGCAGAAATCAGATGCTGAGTTACTTAATAATCACTCACCTATTTGACAGCTGATGTAGAAGAACTTCAAATACATGGGGCTGGGCCCTCAGCTATGGCAAGTTTCACCTGACACTGCTGAGTTATTTTTGCTGAGAATGTGAGGCCACTTAAATCCCTAGTACTACAGAATTAGGATTGTAATATCCAAGGCACCTAGATTATTTCCTCCCTATAGTTTATGTAAAAAGCCTGTTGCTTACTTTTTAAAACACAGAAATCTAATCTTCATTAAATATTTACTGGGGAGAAGGAGATTAAAAAGTTAGAACATTAAAGACAATATGCAACGATTGGAACAGCTAGATCTTCCAATTTAAAATGCTAACACTGAATAATATGTTAGATCTCGAACTGCACCTCAAGAATTGTTCCAACAGTGTATACAAAAGAACACTACACAAGTGTGTTTAAAGTTTCAAGACTAGTTCTAGAGACCTATTTTGAGCAGATGCTTTTGACTTTCCCTCCCTTTGATACTCAAATCAACTCAAATGTACAGAACACTCGGCACTAAGTCCTCAAAAACATGCAGAATGTTTTTCCTCTATCTCCTTTCTTTTCTGATTTTTCCCTGTCTCACAGGGTTAGAACAGACTGGTTTAGAGAAACAAAATACATTGAGATATAAAAATCTAATGTCAGTTCACCCAATAGAAACCAGGATCTCGTATACATGCAAACAGTATCAGCAAAACTGTGTCTGAATTTCACAAGCATGAACCTACTTTTTGTTGTTGTTCTTAAAGGAAGAGAATGTGGTAACGACAATTTACATACACAACTAATAACTACCCAGCGATTTAGGTTTTGTCTTCCCTTTGAACACACACATTCCAAATTTCTCGTGAAGACACAGACATTTTCCGCAAGTTTTACTTCAGCTTTCAGAGCTGCAGCCCATGTTTCTCACATCAGGATAAGCATGACGTGTCAGCAGCCACTGCAGTATCACCTATCTGACCAAAACTGGTATTTCAATGTTATTAACTATCTAAACTAAACTATTAACTATCTAAACTAACTAAAAAGGCAAATGCCTTTTTTTTTTTTCCTGTCTAAAAACCCCACAACAATCCACACACAGAAAACCCCCACCAAAACCCCTGTCCCCAAACCCACAACTGTACAGAAGATCAAGGATTCAGAAAGACTAAAAACCCAGTGCTCATTATGTTCAGTGGCTGAAATGCACAGGTTTTATGCCCTAACTTTTGGCACTTGACAGATGCCATCAGTTTAACCCATCTCCACCGGGTCTGCAGGCATCTTCCACGAGGAACACTCCCTTGACACCACGAGAGATGCAGTGACCTGACGCCTGACAACTCCAGCGCGAGCACCGCGCACACACACACACACACGCACACACACACACACACACACACACACACGCACACACACACGCACA